TCTCTCAAACTCTGGAGGCCGTAATGCTACACCCTGTTCCTATGAGCTGGGCAAGGGTCCGTAAATGTAGGGTGGCCCTGACCCAGACTGGCCAGGTAAGTACACAGATGACCCCAAGTCTGCACAGATGGCCCTGCCAAGATAAAGGTGGCATGTGGAAAGGCTGGGGCCCCACTGGGCCCGTTCTTCCAGCCACATCTTAGTGGACAGCTGAGACCCTTTGTGTCCTTTCCTGGAGTTGCTCTGGAAGGGCCAAGGGGACAGTGCCCCACCTTGGGAATGCAGTTCGCTGTGTGGGTGCCCATTCTCTTGGAGTATCCCCACTTTGATCGGTTCACAGGGTCAGGGAGCATTGGCCCTGCAGGGCCTCTGGGACTGAGAATGCTAGGGTGCACCACGGGGCCCCTGTCCTCTCCTAACAGGTGCCGACCCACCATAGAGAGCTAGGTGACCCACAGGAGGACTGCAGGGAGCAGGTGTTGCTGCCACAGTTCCTCAGGCCGCCATCCACACTGCCATCTGTCCTCTCTCCAGTCAATAACCCAGGGCCCCTACTGCCCTTCACCCAGGACCCCAGGAGCCCTGCAGGAACTGTCTGTGGCTACACCTGCAGTGGCAGCATGCTCCTCCTTTGGGCAGTGGGCCACAGGCCGCAGCCTCTGCTGGCTGTCGGTGGATATACATCCACATCTCAGCTGCAGCATCTCCAGCCCAGGGCTGTGTCTGTCCAGCTCAGAGCTGGGTGGCTTCTGCGGAGACAGCAGGACGGGGAGGGGCAGGAGGGGGAGGTGCATGCATAAGGAAAGATGCATAGATCTATAAAAGTGCACATGAGTGCACCTCAGTTCTCTGTGCACCTGTACTCTTGAGTGGGTCCTACATCTTGCTCTAATAAATCTTTCTCCTGCCTCTTTTTACTGACTCTTCCTGAAAATTCTTTTTTCTTGACAGCAGTCAGTGAACCTGCATACTTATTTTATTTTGTTTGGTTGGGGTTTTTGAGACAGAGTCTTGCTATGTAGTTCAGGCTGGCCTTTAACTCATGGCAATCCTTCTGCCTCAGCCTCCCAAGTGCTGGATTACACGTGTGAACCACCACACCCAGTTGCATACTTATTTTAAAGGAGTGAGTTAAATTCCTTATTTCAGCCTCAGAGATGCTCAGACCCAGCTGTGACAGGGCTTTTGACCTATGATGGTGTCAAAGCAATACCCATAGAGTGGAAATCAAACTTTGAATTCTGAATTTTGATCTTTTCCCAGGGTAGCAACATGCAGCATAATGATAATACTCTCTTTTGATGCTAGGCATTGGTGGCAAGCTGCCATTGCCAATCAGCCACATGATCATAAGGGGAAACAGCCCAGTCTGGAGATGGGCTGGTTAGGAGGCCAAGACTCTAGCCCAGTCCCCACTCTGTTCTTAGGGCAGCGCTCAGCAATGTGGGCTCTGGTAGACCAGGGGCAGCATGGCAGCAGGGAGGCCATGCCAGAGAACCTGCCCCTGCGGCACCCTGGTCCTGAACTTTGCCTCCAGACAACAAGAAAATGGTTTAAGCCACCCAATTATGGTGTTTTGTTTTGGCAGCCAACTATATTAAGAAATGAAAATATTTAGAAACAGTAGAATATATAGGAAACTAATATTGTGGCCTTTGGGTACTAGGAATCTTTTTTTAAAAATTTTTTTCCTAAGACAGGGTCTTGCTATGCAGTTCAGGCTGGCCTTGATCTCACTTTGTAGCCCAGGTTGGCCTTGAACTCAGGTGATCCTCCGGTCTCAGCCTCCCAAGTGCTGAAATTACAGGTATGCACCAC